TTAATGACTTCAAGGATTATGGTCTTTAACACTTTGACATTAGTCCAAATTACCCCACAAAATTAAAATTCCTTCTAAATTTAAAGGAGATAAACAAAATTGAAATAATTACAAGTAACTGATGCATTTGCTTATAACAGGCCAAATGTACTAAATGAGTGTTATGTACTACATGAATACACTATCTCCTGAACTATACACATTTTACTTAACAAAATGTATTGCTTTTTCTTAGCTTTTATATTTTTGTATTAATTGATAAATCAGAATACTGGAGTTCTGCTATTTGTTTCAGATTAATGACACAGGTCAGTGTATTAACTTTAACATGCTGATTTGTAGGTAGGAAGGAGAGGGCAACTAATACTAGGTATTAAAATGTTGTTACATGTTTTTTTCTATTATGTGAACTGGGGGAATATGATGTATTTATATATTCCCCCCAATTCACATTCCTCCATTTCACACAAAATGCACAGCTACATTCCAATGCTTAATATACTATCCACCAAAACACAAGAACAACTGTGGACTACTACATTTAAGTATTATCAAGTGGACTATCAAAATGTCACCACTCTTCCTTTACATTTAGGTATTATCAAGAGGACCACCAAAATGTCACTGCTCTGCCTTATAATCTGAACCACTGGGTTTAAAGCATCCATTCTGCAGTGGGTGAACTGGGTCCCTGTGACTTTACCCATCGTTTACAGTCTGGCAGATCATATGGAAGTATAAAATAATCTTGCTAATTCACAATATTTTAGTGGAGGATGAATTAAAAAAAACCTTCAGAACAATCCTGTAATTCATATTTCTGGATAAGTAACCTGTTATATTTTTGATCGTATAATTTATGAAATGTCAAACCTTTAATCAGGAATGCACATCTCAATTACGCTACTTTGTTATATAAAATTAGGCTATATTTAATTGAGATTTCCAGAAATGTACTGAAAAAGAGGCAAAGTCATCTCATAAACTTGTTTCTTTAATTAGATAAAAGATTTTGTCTCTTAAAATTTAAATGCACCCAGGAAGTTTCACATTTTGGATCTACCCCATCAGTTGAGGATAAAGCTATCAAATTAAAACAAACTTTCCTAGAATTAAAAACAAAAAAACAAAACTAGTATCCTATCCAAAATCACTAAAAACAATGAAGTGTTCAGTAATGTGTCACAGTTACTTGACAGTAGACATGTAACAATACCTGTCCTCTCCTCAGATCTTCACTTGGGGGAAAGAAAAAAACCTGAAAGGTGGTAAAAATAAAACAGGAAAAGGAAAGAAACTTAATAAAACATTTTTTCAAAACCAATGATCATTCTTTAATAGAACATTTTTACCTATAGGTGAAATAGAAACATAAATAATATTGATGTAGTAGAAATACTACAGAATCTCTGTACTATGCTATTTACACTATACTATGGACTACTACATAATCTTTAGTGGTTAAAATGCCTGCATATTCACTAAAGATTATCTCAAATACGAGTTTTATTTTTAATGATCCAATATTTATGTAATTAATATGCTTAAAGCCTTTTAGGTATTTGTTAGTAAAGAAAGTTAAGGTGGCTATTTTATGCAAAACACTGCATACAACACATTGTATTGGGACTTTTATGCAACACATTTCTATACAGCAGCAATAACCTCCTTAATTGTCATTTTGAAAACTTATATTCAGATTTACTATCACTTAAACCTATTCCACTGCAACTGAGAAAAAGTATCACTTTAAGTCTGCTTTATTATCGAGACTGTTATCTCTGACTGTAGTCTCAAGGACTGTACAGAGCAAGAGATACAATTCTCTGATATACAAATAGTTAAATAACCAGAAACACCTTTAAAAGTTCTGGATTTACCTAGACCACTTAGGAAGTGATTTTGGATTTTTTTAATATATATAATCTTGATCAACCCTTGCTTTGCTTACATGGTACTTCCTTTATCATCCTAAATTTACTTCCTTAAACATTTGGCCTAGTTCTAGCCTATCATGTTCTGAGCCAGGTTTGAGTTCAACCACAAGAATTTTTTTTGTGTTTTGAACACCTTGAGACTTGTGTGAAGTGTTAAAGCAGGAAGGCCATTATAAAGGAATGAAAAAGGGCTTGTGCTTTGAGTGAGGCACTCCAATCTTTTAAAACTGTTCATATTTCAATGTAAGATTAAAACAATAAAACAGGTAAGATTTATAATCATCCTATTCTTGACCTTCATCCTTCATTCAGCAGATATCTATTGAGGCCATAATACATATGTGTCAGGCATTGTGTTACAAGCTGAGGATCTGGAAAGGAAAAACAAAGTCTCTGCTTCAAAGAGCTGACAGTCTACTCTGGATGAAATTATAAACATAAATTCTTATATAGATCCACTCTGAAATCTGGCTCGTAAAGGAATATTTTATGTATTTGCTCAAGTAGGACTATTTACAAAGAGAAAAACCTTGAGGTTAGTCTAGTAAAATACAGTTGTTTTCTGATGGGAATTTACTGAAGAGAAGAGAGCATAAGTGTGACCACCAATACTGTATTAGACCGCTGAATGACAACTCTCCATCCTTCTCTCACTGGTTTCAATGTTTCTAAATTGTATCACAAGTAATTTAATTGAAACAGCTGGACAAACAAAAATCTAAAAGTCAATTAGTTAAAATTTAAGTTTTAAGAAATCTTGGCAATGCTGGCTCTGTTCAACATACTTTATACCAGAACAGTAAGACTAATTCCTTGATAATGTCAAATTGTAGAATTCTATTTGCTGAGTTTGGGAAAACATGGCAGCACCTGAAATAGCAACACTTTACTAAATGACACTATCAATATGTAGGGAGAAATCATTTAAAATAAGACCTCACCAAATTCCCTATAATACTGAATAATACATGACCTCTACTAGCATACACATACCTGAATTTTTCCACAAAGGCTTTGAAATAGCTACACTAACATAAAACAAAGCACAAGAATTGTATTCACCTGGCTTCAAATTATGGATTTGTTGTTCACTATTCATGATCTTTGTGCCTTTAACTTCTGAGATTCAGTTTCCTAATCTGCAACAGGGGGACCATAATTCTCCCTGCTGGCTCATAGGAAGGATAAAAATGAAATGGAATGTAGAAACATACCTAGCATTTAGTAGATGCTAAATAAATATTAATTTTGCACTTTCCTTATACAAATACCTGCTATTCAGAAAAAGGATAAGGTGAAATTTTAAACGACTCTCTCCGACATATTAATACAAGTCAAGCAGAATTGTGGACTATTTTGGGGCTGTAACTATTAGTGTCTGTATCTAAAAATCAAACTCAAGGCAAATTCAATTTCTTCCAGCACTTTGAGAACACTGTATTAACCTTAAGCTATATTTTTAATGCAAAAAAAATTCTGAAGGAAAAGTAATGAAGAGGATCCTGGCACATTTTTTCACATTCATTCAAACGATAAGTACACATTCTAAACTCGACTTTCTTATAAGATTTATCGTATTAGACTGGCTAATGTTTAAATGGAATTTTTGTAATTCTGCTCATCTTAATCACATGATTTCCTTTCTTCTTATACATCAATGTTCTTTCTATGGAACAACAGCACTTAGTTTAGGTTTTAAAAGCATGATCATAGTCGCAAAACATTTAGCACCCATCATAATCAGTGTTACAACTCTGCATGTATTAAGAAGAATAAGAACATTTTTAATACATGGGGGGTCTGCAAAGTGACTTGAGTTGATTTCCCCCTCCCCCTCAATCATACCCAAGTACGCAAGTGTCCCGCATCTCAGATCAAACTGAGACTCGGTTTTACTGACGTAACCAGTAACCCTATCCACCTCTCACACTGCGGAGGCCGGCAGGACAGCGCCAGCCGCCAAGTACACCACTCGTAAGAGCCTGCCCCATTCCACCCCCGCGTTTCAGTCATGCTTTCCAGAAATGGGGTCACTCACTCAGTAACTATTACACACACGCAGCCTACCATCCTGTAATCCCCTCAAGTCCGCTGCAAGAATGGGAAGCAGCAAAAAGTCAAGAAGCAAGAATCACAGACGCGCCACCATCAGGAATCGATTTTCCACTCCGGAGAGGAGTGGGTATACCCTGGAATGGGACTTGTCTGGATTATTTTCGCAGACCCCAAGTTGGTTCTGGGTCAGGGGCCTGCTGCGAAACTCTCGGAACCGTGAAGTGTCCGGGGAAATTCTGTCTTGCCTCGTTTGGGTATGCTCTTTGGGGTTTTTGTCACTCAGGTGGCTGTCTCAGGGTCAGTCACCAGATCCCCGGCGAGGAAAAGCAGAAAACACTTTAAGGCGACCGCTGATCTCCTTGAATATCACCCACTCTTCTCCACTGACAGGAAACTCAAGTTAAACTCGTAATGACGGGATCCTTGAGCTCTTCGACCTCAGAGACTAGGGAACAGGGAGTGTAGCACCTCAAGCTTCCACTTTTTCTTAGGCAATAGCAGAAACTGCTGCGGGCAGGGGTGCACAGAACCCTCCGTCTTGTACCCTTCACCCGAAACTCCCAACCGGTTGCCACCCCTGCCCCTGCGCCCATCTACCAGGAGCAGCCCCCACCGTCTGCCGGACTGGAGTGCGCTCCCCGCCCACAACCTTCTCGCTCTCATCTCCCAAAGTCGCCAAGGTCCAGGGACGCCCCGATCCCACAGGGCCAAACTTCCCAACTCCCCGCCAGCCCTCGCTCTGCCTCCTGTTTCCCCCACGCAAAGTTGATCAAAATTGGCTTCCAGCAAAGCCCCAGCACCCACTTCCAGCCCCACGCGCCACCACACCGGCAGCTCCCCCTGAGCGAGGGAGGAAGGTGAGGGTGCGGGCGGGTGGAACAGACGGGAAGACCAAGCCCAGCACCCCGATCCGGAATCCCGCACTCCGGGGAGACGCGCCTGGAGCAGAAGGGGCCGACCGGCCGGCTCCGGGGAGGGGTGCGCTGGCCCTGGCCACTGAGCACTCACCTCAGCGCTGTCCGACGGGCTCTCCACAGCCATCTTCTGCCACGGGTCCGCCAGCTGCGCCAGCGGCATCTTCCCCCCCGGCCCGCCGCCTTCACCGCCTCCTCCCTCCCCGCCCGCCCCGCAGCCGGCCCTGCTCCGTCGCCGCCCGAGCCCCACGGCAGCGGCGGCAGCAATAGCGGCAACAGTAGCAGCGGCAGCGGCAGAGGCAGCGGCGGCCCCAGAGAGAGCTCGACGCAGACACTGACCGCCCAAACGCTGAGCGCCTGGCCAGAGACGCCCGAGCGCGCAGCGAGAGCCTCTCACCGCCGCCCAGCACCCGGTCTCGCCCCTTTCTTCCTCTCCTCCTTCCGCCGCCCGGACTGCGGCTCCGCCCCTCCCCGCGCCGGTTCCCGCGCCCGCTCCCAGCAGAACAGCGACCGCCGCGCGCTCCCCCACTTCCGCTCACAACATGGCGCCTAAGCGATACCTGTCTCTCAGAGCGAGGCTGGTCGCCGCCGCCACCGCCGCGCGCACCCAGGGGCGGGGCTACGGGAAGACACGCCCCGAACCGCCTAGCTTCGCTCCGCCCTTTTCCCACCCCCCTTCTTCGCCCCAGCTTCTGAGCCTCGCCTACTTTCAGGAAGGGCGAGTCCAAGAGATCTGGGGGCGTCGGCAGGAGGCGGGGGAAAGAAACGCGAAGGGCAGGAGAGAGGAGAGAATGGGCGCCTTGAACTGCCACGAGGCCAAGCAGGTCAGAGGCGCCTTTCCAAGGAGCGCTAACAGTGGTCCTCGCCAATCGAGGCAGAAAGAATGACAGGGCTCTGCGAGCGCAGTCCTGGGCCAGTGGCCGGGGACGAGGCGTCAAGTGTCTTTTCCTCCGTTCTCCTGTAGGGCTGTGCGAGCGCCTAGTCTAGAGCACCGCGCCTAATAACCAAGACCTTCCCTCTCCAGGATCACACACTCAGCACTCACCTGCCCCTACACCTTTTTGGACCGGGACTCCAGGCTTCGCGCTTGGGAGCCCCGTGAGCATTCAGACCCCGATGTGACTCAAGGTCCTCCAAGTTGCCCCTCTTGTGTTACATTTTTGATAGTTGAGATTCCTTGTTCTCCAGGAGGGGGTCTCCCTTCCCGCTCTAATACTTCCCAAGTTCGCAGAGCCCTAGCGCTTCAATCTTTAACCCCCCCCCCAAGTCTTTGAGAGAGAACAAGGTTTCTTAAAGTTGTCCTTTTCCACAGAGATGGGGAGTTATTAAAAACACTATATCTTGTAGGTAGGAGCGCGAGGTTCTTCCTTCTCTGTTGACTTTTAAATAAAAGATCAGATTTTTCAAAAATCAGGCCGCCTGTGGGCGGAGGAGGAGGAGGAGAAAGGGAGAGGAGTTCTGACTCCTCCTCCTGCCCAAGATGGGGAAGCCCTGGTTTGAGGAGACCCACTCCTTAGAAGGCGATGCAGCCTCGGGAGACTGGGCGACCTTGGGGGAAAAGGCCTGAGTACCCCGCCCGAGTGGGTTTCAGGAGGGTTTGACCCCTTTTCACCGAGTCAGGTGCCGTGGCACGCTGAGTGCACACGACTGAAACATGTGAAAGTCCCCGGGCTTGAGTGGAAAGCTACTGCAGCCCCTGGCTAACCGCCCTACAAGGGGAAGGAAAAAAGCAAAGGGAAATCTCCTGGCCAGCCTGTCCTTCAAGTCCCTCGGGCCTCCTGGCATTCAGGTCCTTCCCACGCCTGGAGACCACAGCGCGTCACCCCTGCTGTGCTCCCCATACACGCCTTTTAACAGCTTCCTTTCATCATGCCAGGGCTAAGACACCTAGGAAAGCCCTACCCTTCCTCTCTAACACAGGTTCGAAAATGAGATGAGACACCCACACCTAGCCGACCAGTTCTGTACCGGTGGCCTAAAGTTTTCTGGCTGGGGCCTGCTAGCTGCAGGTGTCCAGCTTTTCTGACTGCCTTGTCAACTCCCCCCTTAACCCAGGCTCAGGCCAGGGAACCTCCGTCTCAGGACGCTCCAACTTGTTTAAGCAGCCAGAGAGAAGGTAGGCAGAAATCCTTGCTGAGTGCTGTCTCTCTCAGCCTTGGACTCGGGACAGCTGAGGTTGGGCAACATTTAGGCAGGATTAGCCTGATTTAGGGGAGGGGAGCATATGGATCTACTTGGATCACGCTCCTACCACTTCCCACATCATAGCTGATTCAGGTGCTGCAAATCCAACCTGTGCCTGAACTCGGCTAATTTTGCAGCTTTCTGTAATTTTACTATACTATAAAACATGCTTGTGGAAGTTTAAAATAAGGAGTTGTGTATTGTTTTTCATTTAAGCACAGACTGTTTAATTTTTCTTGTGTTTACATTGCCAAGCCACATCACCACTCCTTATAGCAAAAAAGGAGTTTGTCAATTTGGTTGGTTTAAGGTAAATTAGCTCCCTAGTGATCAATTATTCCCAGTTAACATTCTTGCTTTAGTAAAATTATACATGGTGAAAACAGTTATGTGCCCAACACACTCCAGTGCTAATTACTCCACACAAAACACCAAATAACATTTTAAAAAATGAAAATTATTTGCCATTTTCAGTACCAACTTTTACTTATTTCTGTTTATCTTCAAAATCAGGAGGAATAACTTTTCAAACAAAGTTAAATGATTTGTAAAATAATGTGGCACTGGTGACATTTTAGAAATCAAACATTAGATGGACTGTTAGATGTTTTGCACATAGAATCAACTAAAAAATCTGTGAATTGATTTAGAATAACACTATCCTTCCTCTTGTCCTCAGAGACTTTGTTATGAGAAGCTTTTCTCTGTTTTCTCCCTGCTATCTTTGGTTGAGGAATTGGGGGAAAATAAGATGAAGTTGGAAGATTGTTGAGCATATAAGTTAATATTGTCCTGAGCAGGACATTTTTTTTCCTAACAAAGTACTCTAAGAGAACCTATTCAAAGAATAGCTGCCTCCTGTCTAGATCTGCAAAGGCTAATATTGCAGCCATTAGCCACACTTGGCTACTGAGAACTTAAAATGATGCTGGTGGTCAATATTGAGATGTGCTGTAAGTGCAAAATTCATACCAGATCTCAAAGACTTATTAAAAAATTAGGTATCTCATTAATAATTTTTATATTGACTACATATTGAACTAGTTTGAATCTATTGTATTAAATTATTTTATTAAAAGTAATTTCACTTTAAAAAATGTTTGGTGTAGCTGCTATATATATACTTACCTATGTGATGTGTCAAGATTTACACTACAGTTCTATAAGACAGAACTGATCTAGAACTTTCTTTTAACCATTTTATATTCCTACCAGTCTTATAACCTTAAGCATCTCTTTGGGCTGCCTTCGTACAAAAATCTGCAGAAAGGAGTGATTCAGTTATCTCCTGATTGCTTTACCACAACTATTCAGAACCAAAATACAGTATTATACTTGAAACTACAACACAGGAAACAGCAAACTTCAGTAGAAAATCTGAACTAGGTTTCCAAGAAATCATTCCTAATGTATGACAGGACAACTAGATTTAACCTCCTCTGCCCCCAACAATTTCCTGCTAAAATTATAACCTTTGTATAGACGTTTAAATTGGCATTTATGTAACAAAATAACATTTGTTCAAAAATGGAGTTACCTCAGTCTGGAAAGGTTGCAAGATGAGTTAGCTGTGGCTCATGGTACAGTCTCTCCCTGCATGTATCCAAAATTCACAGCTCTTTACACATTGACTGCTACTACAGAAAACCCATCAAGTGTAATCATTATCACTTCCAGGAAAAGGCTTTTTCTTTTACATTGTCTAAACCATATTTATTTTTCACACAAGAAAAAGTAGTCACATGAGGGTATTTGTGTGTGTGTGTGTGTGTGTGTGTGTGTATTTTAGGACAGGGCCTTCAGGGTTTACAGGGTCTCCCTGTGCACATTGGACTCATAGTGATCCTCCTGTTTACAGCTTCCCAAGTGCTGGCATTACAGGCATGTGCCATTATGCCCAGTCTCCATCAACGTCTCAGCACACCCCGGGAGCGGGGCTGGCACAGCAGGCCGGGGGACAGAACTTCTGGCCCCTGAGTCTGCCTAGTAGGGGCTTTAATCTGCTGAGCTATTTGGCCAGTTGTAAGGGTATTTGATTTTGCAGAAAGACAAAGTTAAAATTTAGGCTTATATTTTATCTCACATAAGACAATATGTTACAAAATTCATAATGTCATGTCTTTCATGTGTGTGAAATTTTTCTTAAAACTTCTCAAATAAAAAATTACTGAGAATATTTTTAGGCCTGAGGATGTAGCTCAGTGGTAGATCATTTGTCTAGCATTCTAGAGGCTGTGGGGTCAATCCCAATACCTCTCCCAAACCAAAATCAAAAACAGAAACCAAAAATCAAACCAAAACAAAACAAAAACCACTCAGTGGGGCACGTCTTAAAAGAAAACAGGAATGTCTACATCTGTTAGAATATTTTATTTAAGAAAATTCAAAATTAGAAAGTGTAAGAATATTTTCTAGGTTACCCTCCATTAAGTTCAATGATTAAGGGCCGGCCAAATAGCTCAGCGGATTAAAGCACCTGCTTAGACAGACTCAGGGACTGGGAGTTCGATCCCTGGGGCCTGCCATGCTGGTCTTGCCCCTGGGGCCTGTTGAGACGTTGATAGAGACTGGGCCTGGTGGCGCAGGCCTGTAATCTTAGCTCTTGGGAGGCTGTAAACAGGTGTATCACTATGAGTCCAATCTAGTAGTGAGATCCTGAACACCCTGTAGACCCTTCCCTAAAATACAAAAAAAAGTAAAAATGATTTTACAGTTATATGTGATGAAAAACATTACTAATGAAAATCTATTAAGAACTAATAAAAAATATCTTTTTTTTTTCTTGTAGTGTGGCTAAACTCCAGGGATACTATAGCAGTGAGCTATATCTGAAGCCCTTTTAATATTTTAAGACACTGTCTTACATTGGGCAGGCAGGGCTAAAACTTGTGATCCTCCTCCTTCACTTTCCCAGAGTGCTAGGATTACAGTCATGTACCCTGCCTCACTTTGCTGAAGGGAAGATATTCTTTTTTTATTGCTTGATTTTTCTTTTTTTCTTTTTTTTAAGTTATGGATACAAGATTTATTTTTATATTTATTAAAGAATACAAAATAGTGATTGATAAAAACAGCATTAGAAACAATACAAAATTTCACTAAACAAAGTAGTAGGAATTCAATAATTGTTGTTGTATTACATGACGCTATCTTCAAAGTTGTTGCTCAGGTTACCAGATATAAACATGCAAGATTCATTTAAAGGAAAAATAAAACAAAACAATAATAAA